TAACCAGGCTCCTGGAGTAATGTCCTGGAGTAATATCGCCATCTTGTGGCCTTTTCGGATATTGCTGCCAGTGGCACACGTGAAGCCCATCCCAGCTGCTACTCATTCCAGAGCTCCCACAAGTTATGCAACCTCCTTCTGGGCCCAAATATGTCTCCTTGGATTTTTAAAAGCATCTCTCTACCTTCATCTTCATCTCCTCTCTTTCCCCACCAACTCATTCTTCAACCCCTAGGTGTGTGTGTTTAATCTTATTAGATTTTTAAAAATCTGCCAAATAACCATAAAACAATTATTTTCCTGCCTATAAAACCAACCTAACATAGAAGTGATATAGAGGAGTTGTTTTCTTTTTTAATCCACTGGAGTTAAATTTAACTTTTGGGATTACTAGTTCCGCCTACACAGTTCGAATGCCAGCACAACCCTCCTGTGAACACAGTTTGAGCCAACACGTAGCAAATGCCTGCTCTGTAAGGAGCCGTGCTAGCCGCAGAGGGCTCTGCCATGAGCATGGAGGAAGCGCAGGAGATCTCCAGCTCTGCTGAAATCCTTGCGCAAGAGAGGAATTAGCAGTGCTGGGGAGGCAGGCAGGAGGGAGCGGGAGGTGTGACCAGGGAGGGGTGGGGGTTGAGAATTCTAAGCTTTAACTGATGGCCACGTTTAATAATATCTAGTTCCAGCTGGTGAAAGAACTGGTATTCTCCCTCAGAGTATTATTATTTTCTTAAAGCAAACCTTCTCTGAGAGCCCATCACATAAGTTACCTTTCACATAAACTGTCCTATTTATTTACTCCTCACAACTATTTTGTGAGGCAATGATTGTTATAATTCCTGTTTGGAATGATAAAACCCAGGCTCAGAAATGCATTCTGACCACAGATATTAGGTGGAGACTCAGGATTTAAACCCAATACTTTCAACTCTTAAGTTTATTTCTCTTTTCACAAAGAATTTAATCTCATTTTTCAAATGGCAAAGGAGGTAAAGGTTTTCGTATAGGTGGGCACCAAGCTGGGATTAGCAGATTCAAACCTATCTTATTAATACTAATGATTTGATATAGAGTAGCAGTTGGCATACAGCAGGTGCTCAGTAAGTGGCAGCTAATAATCCAGAGAACCTACAGCCAGCAGTCCCAGATGACAGTGCTGTCCTGTGATCACAGTGGGGAACCACACCCCATCCCCAACACCAGGGCTTTTCTGCTACATGGTCAGCTTCTCAGAGAGCCCACTGTTAAAATACAGTCACCCTGGAAGGCAGCTCTGTGAGCGATTGCTTAGCAGGTCACCCCGGCACTAAGAGCTGTGTGAGGAAGACAGACAGTTACTGTCGCCGTTTCTGTGGCCAGGAGCTAGGGAGGGGCTGGGCTGCGCAATCCTGGCGCAGGGCCGCTCACGACTTTCAGTCCGGCGGTTCCCTGGGACTGTGAATATGAGATTTTGTCAAGAATCTTTAAGTGTCAGTTTCCTCATGCGTCAAATGGACATAATAGAAGTTACTTCATGGGGCTGTCACGAAGGTCAATGAAATATTTCCTGAGGGTCAGAGACTGCCAAGTGCCTACCCCAAGAGCAGTTCCTTCTTCTTTCTTAATAATAGAAGCTCTGATTTTCAGCTGCGAAGGTGGCTATCTGAAATACAAGTCTACTCTTTCCTTCTTCATTTACTTTTTATTTATTTAGAGTCAGTTCTGTTTGGAGAGAGACAGCTTTAGGAAACTTCCTGTAATGGTTAATTTTGTGTCAACTTGGCTGGTAAAACATTATTTGAGTCCATAGCCTGAGTAAAGAAGGTGGTCCTGGTCAGTGCGGGTGGGCACAGTCCAATCCACTGAGGGCCCGAGTAGAACAAAAAGGGAGGCTGAGGGCAGGTCTGCTCTCCGCTTGAGCTCAGGCTTCCACCTGCTCTTGTGCTTGGACATTGGTGCTCCTGGTTCTCAGACCTTCCATTTGGGCTTAGACTGGAACTACTACTGGCTTTCCTGGGCTTCCAGTTTGTTCACAGGAACCAGCTCCTCACAGTAAATCACTCACTCATCTATCTATTGATCATCTATCTATCGATCATCCATCATCTATCTATCTATCTATCTATCTATCTATCTATCTATCTATCTATCTATCAATCTATCTATCATCATCTATCTATCATCTATCATCTATCTATATCTATCTCCTATGACTCTGATTCTCTGGAGAACCCTGATTACTATGCTTCCTTTAAAAACAACCAATATCGCCCGGCCGGGCGTGGCTCAGCGGTTGAGCATCGACCCAGAATCCAGGAGATCGAGGTTCGATTCCTGATCAGGGCGCATGCCCGGGATGCGGGCTCCATCCCCAATGACTCTCTCATCATTGGTGTTTCTATCTCTCCCTGTGCTGCCCTCTCTCTGAAATCAATAAAGATATATACAAAAAAAATAAAAAAACAACCAATATCTCCACCTCCCCCTTTTACTTGTTACCCTTCCTCTACTGTGCCCCTTGGAGCATGGATGTGGTGTCTGGAGCTCTGGTTGCCCTCCTGGAACACAGGACAAGCACCACACCCTTGGGATGACAGAGGGATGGACTGGAAGGAGCCCGGGTTCCTGAAAGTTCTGTGGAGCTACCATGCCAATCCTGGGCGGCCTGTGCGATGGAGAAAGGCTTTCATCTTGTTTCATCGACTGTTATTTGCGTTTCCTGGCTCCTGCAGGTGAGCTGAACGCACTACCTGCTTATGCGCTTAGCAAGTGCCTGGTAGTCTGGAGGCGCTCAGCACACGGGCAAGTGACGATTATTCAAAGCTGGGGTCCCAGCAGATGACCCAATCCCACAGCCTAGACGTGGAGGGAAAAGTGGGGCCGGGAGGGTGGAGAGAGCTCAGGGGCTGGGCCCCCGGGCCACACCGTCAGCTCTTCCCTCGCGGCCGGTGTATTCCCTTCTATGGAGAGAGGCTGGGCTGGCACAGGCGCTCCCAGACTTTCTTCTTTAATGGTCAGCGGTGGGACTTCAGTTGTTTTTATTGAACTGGGTAAGGAAGCGGGCCCTTTGAATATAGTCTTTACTGTTATTGTTATTTAACATGCAAATGTGGGAAGTTTCAAGTGGTCACGTTTGTTAATCTTTTCCTTAAAAATTGCAAATATCCACGTNATTGTTATTTAACATGCAAATGTGGGAAGTTTTAAGTGGTCACGTTTGTTAATCTTTTCCTTAAAAATTGCAAATATCCACGTGTGTGCCGGGCACC